CCAACACCCCTCGCCCCGCACAGGTGAATGTGGGGCTCATTGCCGTGGTGCTGGTGGCCTACGTCAGCCCCGTGGTGGTGGCCCGTGAGTGCCGGCGGCGTGCCAAGGACCTGGAGGCCGTCAGCAGCCCCCTGGATGCCCCCCCCAGCGCCGAGACCCCTGCCCAGACACCGCACTGAGCCCCGCAGCCCGCACCCAGCGCCTGCCGCAGCCGTTTTCTACTGGACTTTGGGGGAGGGATGGACCTGTGCCAGGGGGCACAGTGGGGGATGGGGGGGTGTTTTGGGGGGGAATAAATATTAACAACCCAGTGTGCTGCTCCCTGTGGTGTCCCCAGTGGCTGCTGTGGGTTTGGGACCCCCTCTGCCTCACGGGGCTGGGGGAACAGCCCCTCCACATCCTCAAAACACATGGACACGCAGCGCCAGAGCTCTCGTTTATTGGGACAGCGCCCTCAGTACTCGCAGATGAAGGGCAGCCTCACCCAGCACCTCGTGCTCCTCCAGCGCCCATCTGGAGACAGGAGCTGGGGTCAGGCTGCGCACCCAGCAGCCCCCCAGCCCCCCCGTGCTCCCCCCCACGCACACCCGGGTTCAGCCCCACAGCCCCCTACCCTCTCCTGCCACAACACCCCCCGGCAGCCTCCCGGCCCCCCAGCCCAGCGCTTCTCAGGGACCCGGCCCCCCGCACACCCCCCAAGCCCCCCTGAGCCCCCCGAGCCCCCCGGGCACTGACTTGCGGTGCAGAGGGTGGTGCAGAAGCGCCCCGTGAGCAGGGGGTAGCCGTGCAGCCAGTAGGCGTAGTTCCAGCCGCTGCGGTCAGACCAGTAGCAGAACACGCTGCGGCCCTGCGGGGTCACCGGCGTCACCCCTGGGGACACCCCCGGGGACACCCCTGGGGACACCCTGGGGACACCCCTGGGGACACCCCCGGGGACCCCCCTGGGGACACCCCTGGTGCCGAGGTGTCCAGGGGTGGCAGGGAGCGAGGTGATGGGATGGAGAACGGGACTGGGACCCCACAACGGGGACCCCAGTGCGGACAGGTGCCCGCGGCCCCTTACCACGGGCCGGGTGATGGCCCCGATCCAGACGCGCCCGTTGTTGACGCGGGCGCGAGCCCTGCACTGCAGCAGGACGTTGGTGCGGTAGCTGTGGATGGAGGCCAGGCGGCCGCGGTAGCAGCGGGAGCACACGCGCTGTGGGGGGACGGCGCCGGTTACGGGGCCGCGCCGGGGCCGGGGCCGGGCGGCAGCGGGACCCCCGGCGCGGCCCCCCAGCCCTGCCCACCTGCGCGGTGTGGAAGTTCTGGCAGCGCCGCACGATGATGTAGCGGAAGGTGCGGGCGCTCTGCGGCTCCGTGATGTTCAGCGCCTCCGTCTCGGCCTCCAGCGGGCACTCCTCGGCCTCGGCCTCGGCCTCCAGCTCCGACTCTGGCTCCAGCTCCAGCTCCTCCGGCTTGGCCACCTCAGAGGGGCCGGCGGCTGGGGACGGCGTCGGGCGTCACTGCGGGTGTCCCCACGGCACCCTCGGGCGTTCCTGCGGCTCCCCGGGGGCACTCACCCAGGTGGCGGGCAGAGGCCGTGCCCAGCAGGGCCAGGGCGAGGAGCAGGCAGGGCCGCATGGTGCTGGGGGCTGCGGGGACACGGAGGGCCTGGGGGGACCCCCTTGGCCTGGGGCCGTCTGGCCCCGGGGGACGGCCCCAGGGACTGGGAGCCCACGGCTGCCACGGTGCCACCCCACAAACCCATTCCCAGAGCCACCCCCACAAACCCAGTCCCCAGAGCCACCCCCACAGCCCCAATCCCCAGTGCCAGCCCACAGCCCCAGTCCCAGTGCCACCCCGTGTCCTTCCCACCCCCGGCATCCCCAGCACCACCCCTGTCCCTCGCCCCCAGCCCTTTGTCCCTCTGACACCCCCACGGCCCTGGCCCCCACCGCCCCTGAGGACACCCCATTCCCTGTGTCCCCATGCCCCCACTGCCACCCCTTACCCCTCAGCCCCCTCCATGACCCCCCAGTTCCCTTGTACCCTGCAGCCACCCCCTTCCCCATGTTCCCCATGCCCCCACGTCCCCCCGCCCCTTCCATGGGGCACTGCAGAGCCCCCGTGCCTGCCCCAGGGCTGCAGCCCCCAGCCCCAGCCCGTTGCTCAGGGCTGCAGCCCCCCCTTGCTGTCCCCGTCCCCGTCCCCGCTCCTCACCTGGGGGCTGGGGGAGCTCTGCCTGCCGCGGTCCTTATAGGGGTGCCGGGGCCACGTGTCCCCCGCAGCCTTGCGCCACCCCGGCCCCAGCCCCAAGCCACCAACCGCCAGTGGCTCTGCCCCGAGGGGACACTGGGGGGGACCGGGGGGGCCGGGGACACGTTGGCCGCTTGCCCGAGGCCGCTTCCTCCCCCGGTGGCTGCACGGGCCCCGCAGCGGCCGGTGCCAGCCGTTGGCCACAGGACCACCACCCTCGGGGCACCCCGAGCCCCCTGCCCACGGGGTCCCCGCTCAGAGCCAGCGTGTCCCCAAGGGAAGGCCCTGCTGCACACACTCGGTCTCCTTTGGGGACACGGTCGCCCACCCCGCTGGTGCCGTCTGGCTGGATTTCGGCAGGGCTTTCCATACGTTTCTCGCAGCATCCTGCTGGACAAAATGCCCCGCGGGCAGCTGGGCACAGCGCAATGCAGGGGGGCAGCTGCCTGCCGGGGGGGCTAAAGGGGCTGACATCTGGGGGCCGGTCACCTCTGGGGTTCCCCGGGGCTCCATTTTAGGGCCACTTCTCTTCATAAATTGCTGGGTTTGTTCAGCCTGAGCAGAGCAGGCTGAGGGGAGGCCTCATGGCGGCCTGCAGCTCCCTCACGAGGGGAGCGGAGGGGCAGGCGCTGAGCTCTGCTCTCTGGGGACAGCGACAGGACCCGAGGGCACGGCATGGAGCTGGGACAGGGGAGGGTCAGGCTGGGGGTTAGGGACAGGGTCTGCACCCAGAGGATTAAGGAGAAGGCTGGGATATACACACTGCAGCCAGGGGCTGCCTCTGGCTGTCTGACCGGGAAGAACAAGCAGGCAGTGTTTTCTCCCTGGCCATGCCATGATGGCCCTTCACGCCGTGACAGTGATGGTGGCAGGGGACAGGCTGCTGCTGGTGGTGGCTGGGTTGCAGGGACGGGGCAGTGGTATCGGGGGATGGCGGCAGGCAATAGGGTGGTGGTGTAACGCTCACAGGGCTGCCCGGAGGCTGATGGCCGTTGGGGCCAACAGCCCGCACCAGCAGCTTCGGGGCCCCGTGTCCGCAGGGAGGGGAAGTGGCCTTGGGCATGGGGCCAACTGTCCCCTGCCACCCTGGGGTCCCCCAGGCAGCAGCACCCTGTCCCCCAGCATTGCCTAACACCGCCCAGGACAGCAGCAGCCGCCTTAGCAGCAAGGGCATGTGCTAGCTCACGGACATCTTGTGTCCAGCAGGACACCCAGGTCCTGCACAGCCCCTCTCCGGCTGGGTGGGCCCCAGCGTGTTGTGGTGCCTGGGGGTGTTCCCCCCCAGGGGCATGGCAGGACACTTGGAGCACCCTGAGCTGGAAGGGTGCCACAAGGAGCATCGAGACCAACTCCTGGTTCCTCAAAAGAGCACACAAAAACCAGACCCTGACTCTGAGAGCTTTGTTCAAATGCTTCTACAACTCTGTCACGCTCGGTGCCTTAACCACTGCCCTGGGCAGCCTGTCCCAGCGCCCGAGCACCTCTGGGTGCAGACCCTGTCCCTAGCCCCCAGCCTGACCCTGCCCTGTCCCAGCTCCATGCCGTTCCCTCGGGTCCTGTCGCTGTCCCCAGAGAGCAGAGCTCAGCGCCTGCCCCTCCGCTCCCCTCGTGAGGGAGCTGCAGGCCGCCATGAGGCCTCCCCTCAGCCTGCTCTGCTCAGGCTGAACAAACCCAGCAATTTATGAAGAGAAGTGGCCCTAAAATGGAGCCCCGGGGAACCCCAGAGGTGACCGGCCCCCAGATGTCAGCCCCTTTAGCCCCCCCGGCAGGCAGCTGCCCCCCTGCATTGCGCTGTGCCCAGCTGCCCGCGGGGCATTTTGTCCAGCAGGATGCTGCGAGAAACGTATGGAAAGCCCTGCTGGGATCCAGCCAGACGGCACCAGCGGGGTGGGCGACCGTGTCCCCAAAGGAGACCGAGTGTGTGCAGCAGGGCCTTCCCTTGGGGACACGCTGGCTCTGAGCGGGGACCCCGTGGGCAGGGGGCTCGGGGTGCCCCGAGGGTGGTGGTCCTGTGGCCAACGGCTGGCACCGGCCGCTGCGGGGCCCCGTGGCCACCGGGGGAGGAAGCGGCCTCGGGCAAGCTGGCCAACGTGTCCCCGGCCCCCCCGGTCCCCCCCAGTGTCCCCTCGGGGCAGAGCCACTGGCGGTTGGTGGCTTGGGGCTGGGGCCGGGGTGGCGCAAGGCTGCGGGGGACACGTGGCCCCGGCACCCCTATAAGGGCCGCGGCAGGCAGAGCTCCCCCAGCCCCCAGGTGAGGAGCGGGGACGGGGACGGGGACGGCAAGGGGGGGCTGCAGCCCTGAGCAACGGGCTGGGGCTGGGGGCTGCAGCCCTGGGGCAGGCACGGGGGCTCTGCAGTGCCCCATGGAAGGGGTGGGGGGACGTGGGGGCATGGGGAACATGGGGAAGGGGGTGGCTGCAGGGTACAAGGGAACTGGGGGGTCATGGAGGGGGCTGAGGGGTAAGGGGTGGCAGTGGGGGCATGGGGACACAGGGAATGGGGTGTCCTCAGGGGCGGTGGGGGCCAGGGCCGTGGGGGTGTCAGAGGGACAAAGGGCTGGGGGCGAGGGACAGGGGTGGTGCTGGGGATGCCGGGGGTGGGAAGGACACGGGGTGGCACTGGGACTGGGGCTGTGGGGGTGGCACTGGGGATTGGGGCTGTGGGGGTGGCTCTGGGGACTGGGTTTGTGGGGGTGGCTCTGGGAATGGGTTTGTGGGGTGGCACCGTGGCAGCCGTGGGCTCCCAGTCCCTGGGGCCGTCCCCCGGGGCCAGACGGCCCCAGGCCAAGGGGGTCCCCCCAGGCCCTCCGTGTCCCCGCAGCCCCCAGCACCATGCGGCCCTGCCTGCTCCTCGCCCTGGCCCTGCTGGGCACGGCCTCTGCCCGCCACCTGGGTGAGTGCCCCCGGGGAGCCGCAGGAACGCCCGAGGGTGCCGTGGGGACACCCGCAGTGACGCCCGACGCCGTCCCCAGCCGCCGGCCCCTCTGAGGTGGCCAAGCCGGAGGAGCTGGAGCTGGAGCCAGAGTCGGAGCTGGAGGCCGAGGCCGAGGCCGAGGAGTGCCCGCTGGAGGCCGAGACGGAGGCGCTGAACATCACGGAGCCGCAGAGCGCCCGCACCTTCCGCTACATCATCGTGCGGCGCTGCCAGAACTTCCACACCGCGCAGGTGGGCAGGGCTGGGGGGCCGCGCCGGGGGTCCCGCTGCCGCCCGGCCCCGGCCCCGGCGCGGCCCCGTAACCGGCGCCGTCCCCCCACAGCGTGTGTGCTCCCGCTGCTACCGCGGCCGCCTGGCCTCCATCCACAGCTACCGCACCAACGTCCTGCTGCAGTGCAGGGCTCGCGCCCGCGTCAACAACGGGCGCGTCTGGATCGGGGCCATCACCCGGCCCGTGGTAAGGGGCTGCGGGCACCTGTCCGCACTGGGGTCCCCATTGTGGGGGGGTCCCGGTCCCGTTCTCCATCCCATCACCTCGCTCCCTGCCACCCCTGGACACCTCGGCACCAGGGGTGTCCCCAGGGGTGTCCCCAGGGGTGTCCCCAGGGGTGTCCCCGGGGGTGACGCCGGTGACCCCGCAGGGCCGCAGCGTGTTCTGCTACTGGTCTGACCGCAGCGGCTGGAACTACGCCTACTGGCTGCACGGCTACCCCCTGCTCACGGGGCGCTTCTGCACCACCCTCTGCACCGCAAGTCAGTGCCCGGGGGGCTCGGGGGGCTCGGGGGGCTTGGGGGGGCTTGGGGGGGCTGTGCTGGGAGCCGGGGCCCTGAGAAGCGCTGGGCTGGGGGGACGGGAGGATGCCGGGGGGTGTTGTGGCAGGAGAGGGTAGGGGGCTGTGGGGCTGAACCCGGGTGTGCGTGGGGGGGAGCACGGGGGGGCTGGGGGGCTGCTGGGTGCGCGGCCTGACCCCAGCTCCTGTCCCCAGATGGGCGCTGGAGGAGCACGAGGTGCCGGGTGAGGCTGCCCTTCATCTGCGAGTACTGAGGGCGCTGTCCCAATAAACCAGAGTCCTGGAGCCGTCGCCCGGACGCCCCCCGGCTCAGTGCCCCGCCGGGCACCCCTTGCCCACCCCGCAGCACAGGCTGCGCCCCCAGCCCAGCTCCCAGTAAAGCCTCAGCTGCTGGCATCACTGCTCACGCCTGGCCTCTGTGTTGGGGTGGGACACCAGGTGGCTCTGGTGTAGGGCCGTGGGTGGGGGGTCCCGGGCTGCGGTGGGGACAGAGAGCAGAGCAGGGTGTTGGGAACGAGGTCCCTCTGTGACCGGCACTGGGCACAGGTCCCCTGCCTGTGGTGGCACCCGGCCACGGCCACCCCAGTTCGGCAGCACTGCTCTGACAGCCCCTTCCTCTCACCCCATAGCCCCCACAGCCGACTCATGGCCCCCTCACTCTCCCCCCACAGAGGGAACAGACAGGGGGCTGTGTGACGGAGGTTTATTGGGGTTAGGGAGCTCTGCATCCCCTCAGCTGCTCCTGGACCAGTCCCCAGCACCACCCCGTGTCCCTCGCCACCCCCAGCATCCCCAGCACCACCCCGTCCCTTGCCCCCAGCTCTTGGCCCCCTCTGACACCCCCATGGCCCTGGCTCCCACCACCCTGGGGACACCCCATTCCCGTGTCCCCATGCCCCCGCTGCCACCCCTTACCCCTCAGCCCCCCCCACGACCCCACAATTCCCTCATGCCCTGCTGCCCCCCCTGTGGACACCCCAGCCCCGTGCTGCCCGTGCCCCCATGTCCCCCCGCCACTTCCATGGGGCACTGCAGACCCCCCATGCCTGCCTCAGGGCTACAGCCCCCCCTTGCTGTCCCTGTCCCCATCCCTGCTCGTCACCTGGGGGCTGGGGGTCCTGCCATGCCCCTTATAGGGTTGCCCTGTGCCACGTGCACCCCACAGCCCCTCCATGCCCCGCGGCCCCATTTCTCCCCCCGTCCCTGTCCCGTTGGCAGCGTGGGGAAGGGGCTGGCCGCTGTGGGGTGGCTGGGGGGCTCTGGAGGGGAGGGAGAGGGAGAATCGATGGCCAAGGGGGGGCTGCCCCACAGCACCCAGGGCTAGAGGCCGAGGGAGGAGGTGCCCGAGTCGGTGGATTGCTTCTCCCGGCCCTGGTCCCCCATGGCCCCGGGGGCACCCGCTGTGGGGCTGCTGGGGGCAGGGGGCACGCTGGCCTCTGGCACCTGGGGGGCAGGCACAGGCACCTCATCAGCCCCTGTGGCACCCGGGGGGCTCTGCGTGTAACTCCCAGCCCCATGCCCCCACCCTTTTAGGGCCTGCCCCCCCAGCACGGCCCCAGCCCCCAAAACGTCCCGGCCTCGCCGCTCACCTCCTCGAACTTGCGGGCCTTGTAGTGCTCAGCGCCCTTCAGGAAGTTGAGCAGGATGATATCGCACAGCACCGTGCCCTACGGGGCGGCACCGTTGGGGCTGGGGGCTGCCCAGGGAGGACCCCACAACACTATAGGGCATCGGTCTGCCCCCCGCCCTGGGCTGACTCACCACGCCGATGGAGGTGAAGGCGGCCACGGTGTTGATGAGCGTGGGGACGATGCCGAATTTCCCAGCCTGAGGGGAGGCAGGGGGGTGAGCGTGCGGGGTCGGCCCTACAGCCCCTATAGGTCCGCGGGGCGCTGCACCCCATACATACGTTGCCGTACACCAGGACATCGAAGCGGATGCCGAAGGCCTTGGTGAGGGTGCGCAGCTCGGTGCCGTTGTGCCCGCGGTAGTAGCGGGCGTGCCTGTGGGGAACGCGACCCCATGGCACCCCGCTGCCCCCACCCCGCTGTCCCCACACCAGGCAGTGACCCGGCCCTACCTGAAGTTGTATCCGGGGGAGCTGGGGCTGTGCCGGGTGACGCCGTCCAGGCGGGTGAAGGAGTAGCGGGGCAGGCACAGCTCCCACGAGCGGTCCAGGTCGCACACCCAGCCGATCTTGATGCCCAGCACCCCCCCCTGCCCAGCCGGGAGGGCGAGATGCACCCCGTGCCCCCCGTCCCCGTGTCCCCACAGCCCCATTTTCCCGTGTCCCACACCCCCCAGCCCTAAACCCGCGTGTCCCACGCTGCCACGTCCCCAAACCCCATGCCCCACGCTCCCGTGTCCCTATATTCCACACCCCCACTGTCCCATGTCCCACGTCCCAGCACCCACGTGCTCCACTCCCCTCGCTGCTGCGTCCCCGTGTCCCCACGCCCCCCCGCGAGTGTGTCCCCGTGCCCCCCCCCCCCGTGTCCCCCTGGCTCACGGTGGTGGCCAGGGCGGCGAAGTCCTGCCCGGCGAAGCGCGCCACGTCGCCCAGCCGCAGGATGGGGCAGAGCGGCTGCCGCTCGGGGTGGAAGCGGCAGCGCCGCAGCTCCTCCGCGCTGGCCTGGGGGGGCAGATTGGCCCTGGGGGGGGGACAGGGGACAAAAGGGGACGTGGCATGGGGGGGGACACACACAGGGCTTGTGAGGTGCCGGCGGGGGACACCCCGTCCCCTGTCCCCGTGGTGCCACTCACTTCTCGAAGCCGAAGAGCGGGAAGCGGACGCTGTTCTTGATGAAGAGGGTGAAGTTCTCGGCCTCCAGCATCACCGGGCTGCGGGGCAAGGAGCCGGGGGGGTGCCTGAAGGGGAGGGGGCCGCAGGACCCGCTGCCCCCCTCCCCTGTTTTATTCCCCCCACCCCCCGGGACTCACACGCTGACGGTGTCCACCTCGGGCGGGCACCAGCCGCGGATCTCGCAGGTGCGCAGGGTGTCGTTGTAGGGCACGCAGCGCCCCGTCAGCACCCCTGGGAGCAGCGGTCAGCACGGGGGGGGGCTCATCCCGTAGGATTTTTGGGGATACCCCCCCAAAATAACCCCCAAACTCACCGCTGCCTGTGGTGAGGCTCTTCCCCTGGCAGTCGCGGTCCGTGGCGCAGCGGTAGGTGGCTTCGCTCTGCGGGGTGGGGGGATAATTTGGGATTTGGGAGGGGGGCACACACACACACACACACACGCCTGGTGCCCCCCCGTGTCCCCCCCCGGTCCCCTTACCTCGGGGCAGACGCCCTGCGCCTGGTTCTCCGTCAGGATCTGCCTGGTGACCACCACGAACACAGAGGTGCCCTGGGGCGAGGGGGACAGGGGGGGGTCACCACCACCCCACAGCGTTTTGGGGGGGCATGGGGGGTTATTTGGGGCAAGACTGCCCGCGGAGAGGAGGTGCCTAGTGTCCCTTATGGGATTGCGGGCACTGGCACTGAAGGGACCGACCCCAAACCCCCCCTGGGGGTGCCGTTACCTGCGGGGGGGTGACGTAGTCGGCGGTGTCCAGGACGCGGTCCCCATATCGCCCCACGCCCTTGACCTTGGTGACCACAGGAGGACTCGAGGGTGGTGTCCCGCACCTGGTACGCCTTCTCGTGCAGGAACACCCAGCTGCCGGCACCCCAAACCCCATGGGGGTGAGCGGCAGGGACCCCCCCCACACCCCCACCACGGCCACTTGTGTGTCCCCCCCCCTGCTCCTCCCCGTGCCACCCCTTAGGGTCACGGGCACCCGCTGGCACCCTACTGTCCCTCATCCCTCGTGGCACCTCGTGTCCCCCGTCCCCGAGGACTTGGGGGAGGTGAGGGGGGTCCCAGGGGGGTGTGGGGGGGTCGGGGGGGGTCTCACCCGATGAAGTAGGAGAGGATGAGGAGCTGCACGGCGCGGTTGACGGCGCCCACCACCCAGCTCTTCACCACCACCGACTTGGGGGTCTCGTAGGCGAAGAAGTCGGAGAGGCAGGAGGGCTGGGGGCGCGGGGGGGGCATGGGGGGCCGGGGGGGATCTGGCAGGGATCTGGCGGGGATCTGGCGGGGATCTGGTGGGGATCTGGTGAGGGGCTGGCAGGGAGCTGGGCAGCTGGGGTGGTGCAGAGGCGGGGGGGGGGGGCGGGGGAGGGAGGGGGAGGGCGTGGGCGTGGGGAGGGAGGGGGAGGGAAGGGGCAGGGGGTGGGGGGGTAGGGGGGGATATGGGGGGGGATGGGGGGATATGGGGGGGTGCAGGGGGAGGTGGGGGGGTGCAGGGGGGCATGGAGAGGTTTTGGGGGTGCAGGGGGTGATAGGGTGGTGAGGGGAGGGTGGGAGATGGGGTGCGGGGGGCACAGAGAGGGGCTGGGCAGAGGGATGGGGGCTCGGGGGGTGGGGCAGGGCTGGGGGGGCCCCTGTGTGGGGTGCCCCTTGTGTGGGGTGAGCCTTGTTTGGGGTCCCCTTTGTTTGGGGTGACCCATATATAGGGTGCCCCTTGTTTGGGGTGCTCCTTATTTGGGGTGAGCCTTGTCTGGGGCACCCCTTGGTGCCTCTTCTTTGGGGTTCCATGTTTGGGGTGTCCTCATACGGCTTTGGGGTGCCCCTTATATGGGGTGCCCCTTGTATAGGGTGACCCTTATTTGGGGTGCCCCTTGTTTGGGGTACCCCTTGTGTGGGGCACTCCTTGGTGCCTCTTCTTTGGGGTTCCATGTTTGGGGTGTCCTTGTAGGGCTTTGGGGGTGCCCCTTGTATGGGGTGCCCCTTGTATAGGGTGCCCCTTGTTTGGGGTCCCCTTTGTTTGGGGTCACCCTTATATAGGGTGACCCTTATTTGGGGTGCCCCTTGGTGCCTCTTATTTGGGGTTCCCTGTTTGGGGTGTCCTTGTAGGGCTTTGGGGTGCCCCTTGTATAGGGTGCCCCTTGTTTGGGGTCCCCTTTGTTTGGGGTCACCCTTATATAGGGTACCCCTTATTTGGGGTGCTCCTTGTTTGGGGCACCCCTTGCTGCCTCTTCTTTGGGGTTCCCTGTTTGGGGTGTCCTCGTAGGCCTTTGGGGTGCCCCTTGTTTGGGGTCCCCCTTTTTGTGGTCCCCCATTTATGGGGCGTCCATGCAAGGCTTCGGGGCACCCCATGCACCTTTTGGGCCCCCCCCCCCGGCCTTTTGGGGTCCCCCCATGCATGGTCCCCCCCGTGTCCCCCCCCATCCCTTTTGGGGGCGCTGCGCCCCCCTCTGCCCTCAGCCTCCCCCCCCCCCGCGTCTCTATGATCCCCACGGGGCCCCCCCCGGATATTTTTTTGGGGGGGGGGGGGTGCCGCTCTAGTCCTCCACGTTGCGGCGCCCTCTCTATGGCGGAAGCGGGGGCGGGTTCCGGCGGGGGGGGGGGGGAAGAGGAGGAGGAGGAGGAGGAGGAGGAGGAGGAAGGCCGGGGGGGGAGGTGCGTGTTGCGCAGGCGGGAAAAGTGGCGGCGGTGCGGGGGGGGGGTGTGGATTTTTTTGGGGGGGGGGGACCCCCAAGGGTGGGGGGTGATGTTTAATTTTGGGGGAGGGGGGGGAGGTTTTGGGGTGGGGGCGAGGATTTTTTTTGGGGGGGCATTTTTTGGGGTGGGGGGCGGGTTTATGGGGCCGGGGGGGGCGCTGGGGTAAGGGGGTGGTGGATGTGGGGGGGGCCCTGGGATTGGGGGGGGAGCTGGGGGGGGTTTATGGGGCCGTGGGGGGGGGATATGGGGTTGTAGGGGGCCAGATGGCGCTGTATGGGGCCACGGGGGGGCTATATGGGGACATGGGGGGGCTGTATGGGGTCGTGGGGGGCTGTATGGGGCCACAGGGGATGTATGGGGCCACAGGGGGCCGTATGGGGACATGGGGGGGCTGTATGGGGCCACGGGGTGCTGTATGGGGACACAGGATGTTGTAGGGCCACGGGAGGCTGTATGGGGCCACGGGGGGCTGTATGGGGCCACGGGGTGCTATATGGGGTCGTGGGGGGCTGTACGGGGCCATGCGGTGCCGCCGGGGCGCCTCCTCCTTGCTGTGCTCACCCCTGTGGTTTCTCCCCCCTTCCCCCCCCCAGCAGCTCCTCAGTGCTCAGCGTCCCCGCGCCAGGGCATGCCGGCCCCCCCGGGGGGGATCTGAGCAGAGCCTGGCCCAGGCCCCCTCCTCCTCCCCCCAGAAAGCCCCCGGGGCCGCCGCCGGCTCCCCCCGGCCCCGTTGGCCATGGCCGACACGCTGGAGTTCAACGAGATCTACCAGGAGGTGAAGGGCTCTATGGTGAGCAGCGGGGGGGGGGCCCATCCCACCCCAATCCCACCCCAATCCCACCCCAATCCCACCCCAATCTCACCCTCCTCTCATTTTCCAAGGGCCTCACGTGTAGGGCCGGGGTGTTTTGGGACCTCTGTGGGGTTTTGGTGCCAGCCTGGTGCTCCCCTCATGCTGGGTGTTGTAAATTGGGTGGCACAGCCCCGGTGTCGAGGATCCCCCCCCCATAAATCCGTTTGGGATTTGTTCCTACAAGCCTGATGGGATCCTGGGGGTGTTTTGGGCCACCCAAACCCCAAACGAGGGTGGTCATGGGTGCGTGGAGAACAAAACCTGCTGGGATTTGGGGAGATCACCCCGTGGGGGGGATCCGTGCCCTGTGGGGCAGCCCCCGGGGGTGTCGGGGGGGAGCCTGACGCCCGCTGCCCCCCCCAGAACGACGGCCGGCTGCGGCTGAGCCGCCAGGGCGTGATCTTCAAGAACAGCAAGACGGGCAAGGTGGACAACATCCAGGCCTCGGAGCTGGCCGAGGGTGTGTGGCGCCGCGTGGCCCTCGGCCACGGCCTCAAGCTGCTCACCAAGAACGGCCACGTCTACAAATACGATGGGTTTCGGGAATCGGTGAGCCCCCGGCGATGTTTGCTCCTGTCCTTCCTCCTCCGTGTGTCCGGGCATCGCCCTACAACACCCCCTTCCCCCTCAGCGAGAGCTGACCCCTTTTTTTCTCCCCGTTTCCCTCGTTTCTGTGGGTTCTGTCCCCTGTTGGGGCTTCGGACGGTGCCCGTGGGGGTGTCTGACGGCGTTCCCTGTTACCAGGAGTTCGACAAGCTGTCGGATTTCTTCAAGGCCCACTATCGCCTGGAGCTGGCGGAGAAGGACCTGTGCGTGAAGGGCTGGAACTGGGGCACGGTCAGGTTCGGAGGTGAGTCGTGGTAATTGGGGCAGGGGGTGCCTCCAGGCAGTGGGGCCGGGGGGGTCCCAGTCCCACCAGGTGCCTGTTCCTGCAGCTCCCAGCTTCAGGGGGCTCCTCCAGGCAGCTGCCCCCTTCCTAGCCATGATTTTGGGCATCTTCCATCCCATCCTCGGGTTCTCACCCCCTGGCCCCGTGCAGGGCAGCTCCTGTCCTTCGACATCGGGGAGCAGCCGGTGTTCGAGATCCCCCTCAGCAACGTCTCGCAGTGCACCACGGGCAAGAACGAGGTGACGCTGGAGTTCCACCAGAACGACGACGCCGAGGTCTCGCTCATGGAGGTGCGCTTCTACGTGCCCCCCACCCAGGAGGACGGCGTGGACCCCGTGGAGGTGAGCCGGGGGGCTGGGGGATGGAGAGAGCACCCCGGGGGTCTCGGCGTGGCCGGATCCGTGCCCGAGGTTCCCTTTTCCTCGCAGGCCTTCGCGCAGAACGTCCTGTCCAAGGCGGACGTGATCCAGGCCACGGGCGATGCCATCTGCATCTTCCGGGAGCTGCAGTGCCTGACGCCCCGCGGGCGCTACGACATCCGCATCTACCCCACCTTCCTGCACCTGCACGGCAAGACCTTCGACTACAAGATCCCCTACACCACCGTGCTGCGCCTCTTCCTGCTGCCCCACAAGGACCAGCGCCAGATGTTCTTCGTGGTGAGGAGGGGCGGCACGGCGGGTCCTCTCTCGGGGAAGGGTGATGGGTTTTGGGGTTTCGTGGTCCTCAGCTCGTCGTGTCCTTTCAGATCAGCCTGGATCCCCCCATAAAGCAGGGCCAGACCCGCTACCACTTCCTCATCCTGCTCTTCTCCAAGGACGAGGACATCTCGCTCACCCTCAACATGAACGAGTGAGCTCCCCTCCCCTCCCTGCCCCCGGGGTCAGGCGAGGAACCCCTGGTGCCCAAATCCTCAGCATCCTCCTCTCCTTTTTACCCACCCAGGGAGGAGGTGGAGAAGCGCTTCGAGGGCCGGCTGACCAAGAACATGTCCGGCTCCCTCTACGAGATGGTCAGCCGCGTCATGAAGGCGCTGGTCAACCGCAAGATCACCGTGCCTGGCAACTTCCAGGGGTGAGGGCACGCTGCGTCCTCCCGCGGGTGGTGAAATTTCGGGTGTTCGCCCCCCCAACGCCGTGACGTGGCTGTGTTTGCCCCCCCCAGGCACTCGGGAGCGCAGTGCATCACCTGCTCCTACAAGGCCAGCTCGGGGCTGCTGTACCCGCTGGAGCGCGGCTTCATCTACGTGCACAAGCCGCCCGTGCACATCCGCTTCGACGAGATCTCCTTCGTCAACTTCGCCCGCGGCACCACCACCACCCGCTCCTTCGACTTCGAGATCGAGACCAAGCAGGGCACGCAGTACACCTTCAGCAGCATCGAGAGGTGGGCGCGGGGCCGGCTCTGCCCCTCCTCGGCCCTTCGCGCCGGGCGGTTTCCCAAGGGCTGTGTGTGTCCCGCAGGGAGGAGTACGGGAAGCTCTTCGACTTCGTCAACGCCAAGAAGCTGAACATCAAGAACCGGGGCCTGAAGGAGGTACCCGCCCCCCGACCCGCTCCTCTGCGCCCTGCTGGCCGGGCTGGGACAGGGCCGGGGCCTTTTTCTCCCAGATTCTGCTGCTTTTTTTTTTTTTTCCTCCTCTTTTTCCCCCTTTTTTTCACCTCTCTTTTCTTTCCTTGCCCTTGTAGAGGAAAAAGGTCCGTGCGATTCCCCTTCCTCTCTCTCCTCTTCCTCCTCCTGGTGCAGGTTTCCTCTGCATGGCCGTGGTGGTCCCTGACTAAACCCAGTTAACGCCAGCATGGGTTGCAAGAGGGGCCCCCTAACCCCGATAACACTCCTGGGGGACCTTGGCTGTCCCCATCCCTGGCTCCCTGACGGGGAGGGGACACGGGGGGTGTCCGTGCATGCGTGTGGGGCCTGCCCAGGAGCACCCCAGCGGTTTTGGCTTCCAGAGGTGGCGTGTGTGCAGCCGTGGGGGGCGCGGGGAGCGCTCTGACTCCGTCCCTCCCGCAGGGAATGAAGCAGAGCTACGACGAGTACGCCGACTCTGACGAGGACCAGCACGATGCCTACCTGGAGAGGATGAAGGAGGAGGGCAAGATCCGCGAGGAGAACGCCAACGACAGCAGCGATGGCTCTGGGGAGGAGACGGGTGGGTGCAGGGGCTGGGGGGGCAGGAGGGGCCACCCTGGGGGGCTGTCCTCAGGCCTCTTCCCCCTCTGGTTCCGTCCTGCCCCGCTCCTGGGCAGGGTCTGAGCCCTGAGAGGTCCCATCCTCACCTACCCCTGTGCTCTCCTTCCAGATGAGTCCTTCAACCCTGTCGAAGAGGACGATGACGTGGCTGAAGAGTGAGTAGGGGCAGGGCAAGGGTCTCCAGGGCTCGCTTTTGGCAGGGATTTGTGTCGGGGCAGTGGTGGGATGGGGCTGGGGGAGTGCCAGGTGTGGGTAGGATTGTTATAAATCCCTGGCCATGAATCCTGGAGGCGTGGGCACGCTTCTGGGCTGACCCCTGGGCTCTGGACAGGCGCTCGGGGGCACCGCGTGCGCTGTTGGGAGGGGAGGGGTTGATCTGAGTGGTGTTGATGCCCAAAGTTTACGGGAAGTCAGGAAAGCATCAGCCACGTTCGTGTAAAGGAAAACCCCCGGGGGGCTGCTGAGTGCCAGCACAGCTTCAGCTTGGCCTGCAGGCTGCTGGGGGCTGGGAGGATTCGGGGCAGGTCTTGCCACGTGCTCGGGCTGTTCCCGAATCCGTGTTTTCTCGCCCAGGTTTGACAGCAACGCCTCGGCCAGCTCCTCCAGCGGCGACGGCGACAGCGACCGGGATGAGAAGAAGCCGGCCAAGAAGGCCAAGATCGTCAAGGACCGCAAGCCCCGCAAGAAGCAGGTGGAGGTGAGAGGGGGTGGCTGGAGGGGTTGTGGAGGGCAGGACCCGCTTCCCCAAACGTTGATCGCTGATCCTTTGAGATACCCAGCTCTGAGCTGCTTGTCCAAGCCCATGCTCTGCCTCCTTTGGGCCCTTACTCACCCTGCAGATGAGGCAAGGTTGAGTGCTTGGGGTCTTGGGAGGCTCTCACGCTGGTTCTCTCCACTCCCTGCCGCCCAGAGCAAGAAGGGCAAAGACCCCAACGCCCCCAAGAGGCCCATGTCCGCCTACATGCTCTGGCTGAACGCCAACCGCGAGAAGATCAAGTCCGACCACCCCGGCATCAGCATCACGGACCTGTCCAAGAAGGCTGGGGAGCTCTGGAAAGCCATGTCCAAGGAGAAGAAAGAGGTGGGTCGCTCGGGAAAAGAAGCAAGGGGTGAGAACGGCTGCTCAAGGAGGGGAAGAGTGGGCTCCAGGAGCCCTGCTTGGCTCTTCCTTGGTCTCAGGATCCTCGATCTCAGCAGTGGGGAGGTGTAACAGCAGTGGGGTGGGGACTGGTGGGGCCGAGCGTGGTCAGGAGAAGGCCCTGCTGACCTCGTGCGCTTGCTGCAGGAGTGGGATCGCAAGGCAGAAGATGCCAGGAGGGACTACGAGAAGGCCATGAAGGAGTACAGCGTGGGCGGCAGGTCCGAGAGCTCCAAGACGTGAGTGTGCTGAGCAGGCAGGAGGGCGGTGGCCGGGCTTCGTGCCTCTGGGATCCAGTTCTGCTGCCTTCCCGGTGGCTGGGCCTCTCTCGGCAAGGTCAGGCTAATATCCCTTCTGCCCCTCACAGGGACAGGTCTAAAAAGAAGAAGAAGAAGCAGGAGAAGCAGATGAAGGGGAAAGCGGAGAAGAAGGGCGCTGCCTCCAGGTCTTCGTCCTCCACCAAGTCCTCTGCCAAGGGTCTGAGCGAGAGCTTCAAGAGCAAGGAATTCGTCTCCAGCGACGAGAGCTCCTCCGCGGAGAGCAAGAAGGAGGTAGGGCCCTGTAGTGGGGCAGGGGAGAGCCTGGCACCTGTGGGGTGCTCGCTCTCCGCTCTGCCCCCCTGATGCCCCTTCTTGTTCCCGCAGGACTCGGAGGAGGAGGGAGGCGCCAATTCCCCCCCCAGCTCGGAGGATTCGGCCTCGGGCTCGGATTAGCGCTGTGCCCGCTGGCTCCAGGCTGGTTCCCAGCTCAGCGGGAGGACTGAGGGGCTGGGGCAGGGGGCAGGGGGCAGGGGCAGGGCAGGGGGCAGGGGAGGGCAGGGGGGCGCCCACCCAGCCCCGTCCCCTCAGCGCCTGGCCGGGGGGGGCGCGGAGCCTCAGCCCCGCTCCTCACCCACGGATTTTTGTTTTTTGTTTTTTTTTTTTTAAACCGCTGGGGTTTGGTTTGGTCTCTCTCTTTTTGTTGGTTCCGTTTTGTATCTGGGGTCCATTCGCCTTGAATAAAAAAAAACAAACACCAAAAACACCCCCCCGGGGGCCTGCGTCTGGCTGAGGCGCGGCGGGGCCTCCATGGGGTCCTCCATGGGGCTTGGTGCTGCTGGGCCTCGCCTCCCGGCCTCCACCCCAGGCTCCCCGGGGAGGGGAGGTGCCGAGGCCGCGTTGCAGCCGTTACAGCCGTTACAGCCGTTATTATTGAACGAAAAACGCCCCTGGAGGCCCTGAGGGAGGCTGGGAGGACCGCGAGGCCTCAACATGGCGCCTTCCCCCCCCCCCCCCCTTAGTCTCTATGGTAGCGCGTCTCTATGGTCCCTCCCCTCTGGCCCCGCCCCCCGGCGCTCCCCGCCACGCGGCGCCGCGGCCGCACCCCGCGGGGAGGGGGCGTGGCCTGAGGGAGGGGGCGTGGCCGAGCTCATGAATATTCATGAGCGGGGGGCTCCGGGGAGCGTCGCTATGGCAACGGGGGTGCGGGGGGGGGGGCGTTGCCATGGCGACGGCCCCGAGGCCTGCCCGCGTTGCCATGGCGACGGGAGCGGGGCCCGGGGGATGGGGGAAGGGGGAAGAAAGGGGGGGGGGGGGCGCCCCTTGCCCTCCTCTTCCTCCCCTCCTCTTCCTCCCCTCCCCTCCTCCGCCCCCCCCGGCCCTTCCTCTCCGCCCTCCGGCCTCGCCACCGGGAGCTGGGCCCGGGGCTGCCGCCGGGTGGGGAAGGGGGGGGCTCGGAGTGGGGGGGGGAGGGAAGGGGGAAGGGGGGGGGGGGAAGATGGCGGAGGGCTGGGGAGGGGCTGGGGCTGGGGCTGGGGCTGGGGGGGGGAGATGTCTTCCAGATGTGGGCCCCAGGGGGTGGGCGGGGGGAGCTGGGGGGCTGAAAGGGGCTGGGGGGGGGTGGGGGGGTGAGGGGGGGGTGAGGAAGAGGAGGAGGAGGAGGAGGAGGAGGAGGAGGAGGAGGAGGAGGAGGGATGGGGGGGGGGGGGAGGCAGGGCAGGGCCGGGAGGAGCGGAGGAGGAGGCAGGGAGCGAGTTTTTCCTGTCCCCGCAGCGCTCCCTGAGTCACGGCAGCGGCCCGAGCCCCAGGAGCCCCCGCGCCCCCCGGCCCAGGCCATGAGGCCGCAGAGGGGAAGGTGAGGGGGGCACCCCCTGCCCCATGGGCACCCCCTCCCATGGGGCACCCCCGCCATGGGGCGCCCCTTAACCCTGCCTCCGTGCCAGCGGCCCCCCGGCGGAGCCCACGGCACGGGGTCGGGGCGCTGGGGGGCTCGGTGCGGGTGCCGGGGGGCTGGCGGTGTCGGGGAGGGGGCTGGGGGCTGGCACGCTGCCCCCACACTGCTGCTGTGGGGCTGGGACGGGCGCCTGGCAGTGTGACGTACCCCACAGCGCCCAGCCGGCTGCTGCAGGGCCCCCGCTGCCTGCCCTGAGGCTTTAGGGGCAGTGAGGGAGAAAATGAGGGTGGTGGGAGCAGTTTGGGGTGTTGTAGGGCGAATAGGGGGACCTGGGGGGGCTCGGTGGTGATTTGGGGCGTGGGGAGCGGCTGTCGGGGTGCCCCGGCTGTGCCAAGGGCGGGCACGGGGCCGGCAGCCTGATAGCAGCCTGGCACACGGCGTGGGCGCTGCTGCAGGTGCCCGGCGGGGCTGGCGTGGTGCCGGGGCAGGATCCGGGAGGTTTTAGGGAGGTTTAGGGTTGGTGGCCCCGTTGGACAGCCCAGGCGCTGTTTTTTTCCCCCCCACCCCATAACGCTTCTCCCTTTTCTCTTCCCCCAGGGGCTGACCGCTCGCTGAGATCTGCCCGGCCCCAGCCCCCGCCATGGCCTCCCAGCCCCAGCCCCTGCACCCCCCCCTGCCCTGCGCCTCGGGGGGGGCAGGGCTGGCGGCCGGCAGCCCCGAAAAAGGTGAGAGCCCCCCGGACACCAGCCCGGCCCCCTACCCGCACCCCCTCACACGTGGGTTGTGCTGCCCTCAGCCTGGAGCAGGGCATCTCTCGGGGCTGTAGGGTTTCTGTCAGCGCTGTAGGGCTTTTCTCGGGGCTGTAGGGTTTCTCTAACATCCCGTCTCTCTCTGTGTCTCCCTCCCGCAGGCACCGCTCGCCCCAAACCTCCCATCCGGCCCAAGCCCCGCGTGCTGCCCAAGCCCTCCGTGCCCGCCAAGCCTCACCCCCCACCGGCCCCGCGGCACCCTCGCCCCGAGCTGCCCTCGGCCGAGAAGATGAACCGCCTGGCGGGACCCCAGCCCTACGGCGGGGGCAGCTCCGGGGGGGCCCTCAGGCGCCCCTCCTTCACCCTCAAGTCTCCCGAGACCCCCAACGGGAAGGGGCTCCCCTCGCCACCGCCCTCGGCCCCCGAAGACCCGGGCGCGAGCCCCTCCGGCGAGGCGCCTGCGGCCCCCCCGACTCCATCCCGCAAGGGTCCCGGCTCCCTTTAAGGTGACCCCGGTGCCCGTGGCGGCCAAGCCGGAGCGCTTCCCGGGCACCACGGTGGAGGAGATCCTGGCCAAAATGGACAGCAGGGAGGGCCCGGCAAGCCCCGAGCGGGCCCGGCTCTCTCCCTTCTGCCCCGACGCCGCCTCTCCAAGCCGCTTCGGCTCCAAGCCCTTCGCCGCCGTCTTCAGGAGGCGCCCCGGCGGGGAGGCGGAGGGAGCCCCCCCCGGTGAAGCCCAGCAGCCCCCTCAGCACGCCGGGGGGGAGCCGGGGATGGGGGGCGAGAGGAGCTCAGTGGCTGAAACGAGGTGAGGGGCGCGGGGCCGCTCCCCGGGGACGAGGGGACGAGGGTTGGGGGCGGCACCGCGCGCGATGGGAAGGGAATAACGGGGCCGGGAGGGAGCTGAGGTCTGGGCTCCGGCACGAGGCCGGGGTTCCTCCTAACCAACAGCGCCTTGAGCTGCCTTGGTGGGAAGGCTGGGTCACCCGCCACAGCCCCGGTGGTTTGTGGAAACCGCAGGAACGGGCTGGCCCGGTTACGGATCCGTGCTCGCAGCCCTCTGCCGGCTGGGAGAGCTGCCAGCCCGCCCTGCCGCTGCCCCAGCTGGGCATTTCGGGGGCTCGCTGCCCCTGGGAAACGCTCCCTTTTCTCCCTTTTCTCCCTCTTTCCCACCCTCGTTGTTTTTTTTTTTTTCCTGCTGGTCCACGCCGGATCTGTGGGACTCCTGGCTGCGGGACGGGCTGGTGGCGAGCCAGCCCTTGGCCGTGCTCCCGCAAGCCGGGCACCTCTGGGAGCAGGGCAGGGGCTATTTTCATCCCGAGTGTGAGAAACTCGCTGTGCGAAGGATGAAAAACTTCCCAGCGAGGGCTTTGCAGCCCGTTCTTCCCCCTCCCTAATGCAACCAGCCCCCTGACTGAACCCGGCAGGGAATGCGGGGTGGCTGCAGCTCGCCCCACGGGGATGGGTTGGGGCCGGTGGGGCGGGTGGTGGGAGAGGAGAGCGGGGTGCCCGTGGCATTCACCCAGCCTCCCGTCTCCCCGCAGCAGCGGCTCCTCCCCAGCCGGCCTGAGCTGTGCCGGGGACCCCCGCCGACTCTGGAGGCCGCCGTCCCCCCCTGACGTGAGTTCTCGCCGCCCCCTCCTGCGCCGCGGCTGCTCCGCTCCTGGGCTCTCTCCTTTGGGGCTCTCCTGTCTCCTCCGGGGCTCCCTCTCTGCGGGGTGCGTGTCTCTCCTTCCTCCTTTCTGGTGCCGAGCCCCCTCCCTCCCTCCCTCCCTGCATCCCTGGGGGGAAGGCGGGATCCCCCCTGCTCCCCCCCTGTGCTCGGGGTGCCAGGCTCCTGGGGCGGGCTCGGCAGGTGCCAGCCCCGCTGCGGTGCCGAGGTGGGGACGAGGAGCAGCCGTGAGTCACCGGCCAGGATTTTGGGTGGTGGCGGGGACACCGAGCAGCGTGCCGGGGCCGGGGGGGAGGAGAAGGAACCCCGCTGGCCACAGGCAGGGCTGGGCCCTCGGTGCCAGGGCGGTGCTGGTTGGGGCTGGGGGCGTTTCTGTTTCCTCTCGCTTCGGTTCTTCCTCTCCGTGTCTCTCTGCACGCCTCTGGCGGGGGGCTGGGGCAGGGAAAGGGGCTCTGGGGGGGCTCTGGGTGCTGCCTGGCCCTGCCCACGGGGCACGGAGCGGGGCCGGGGCCCACGGGGAGCAGCCGAGGCTGAGTCAGGCAGGAAGCGGCCCCGGAGCTGGCAGGAAGCGTGGGCGCCTCCTGCCCCGGGATTTGGAGGGGACGGGGTTTTGGGAACGGGGTGAGATGCCCGGGGGGTTCCTCCTGAGTGACTGTGCCCCCTCCCCGTGCCCCCCACCCCGTTCTTTCCGCAGCTCTCCTCTCTCCAGCTGGGCACCCCCGGCCCCCCCGGCTCCCCGAGACCCCCCTCCTGCCCGCCTCCAGCCCCGGGCGCTCCTTTCCAGCCCGCCGAGCCCTCCGCCTTGGCCCCCGGCTCTCCCGAAGCCCCCCCGGAGCTGCTGCCCCCCGGCTCCCCCACCCTGGCCCCCGGCTCCCCCAATTCCCCCGCTCAGCCCCCAGCCCAGGATCTCCCCGCTGCCTCCATCCAGGCTCCGGGCGCCCCAGCCGAAGCCCAGCCCGCTGCCTCCCGCTCCCCCGGCTCCCCGCACACCCCCAGTGAAGGGTCCCCCGCTACCTCCAGCCCCCCAACACCAGGCACCCCCCAGCTGCCCCCCCGAGCCACCTACCCCCCCGGCTCCCCCGAGGCTGCTGCAGAGCCCCCATCCCCCCCCAGCCCCTCCCCAGAGCCCCCTTCCAGAGCCTCTCGTCCCCCGGGCTCCCCGGAGGGACCCGATGACTCCCCTACATCCCCGCGGTCCCCCGAGGGTCCCGATTTCAGCCTTCCTCCCCCCAGCAGGGACTCGGGGCTCCGACGTTGCTCCGAGGGGGTCCTGCGGCCCCCCCCCAGCGAAGGGCAGGGCATGGGGGAGCTGGGGGGCTCGCTGAGCGCCCTGCCCCAGCCCGGGGAGCCGGCGGCGCAGCGCTCGCTGGGCAGCGAGTCCAGCTGGAGCCTCTCGCACTCCTTCGAGTGGACGTTCCCCTCCCGGGGGGGCAGGGGGCTGCCGTCCCCCCCCAGCTCCCCCATCCGGGAGGCGGCCGACTCGGGGCTCTCCGAAGAGGAGGACAGGTCGGACGGGGAGGCTGCGGGCTCCCGAGGGGATGGTGGATCCCATAGGGCTGGCGGCTGGCCGGAGGAGGGGGATCCATGCCCGGGGGGGCCCGTAGCCAAGCTGGAGGCTGAGGGCTCAGCAGAGGAGGAGGAAGAGGAGGAGGAGGAGGAGGCAGAGTGGAACAGCACCGTGCTGCACGTGACAGAGCCCGAGGAGGACCCCGCTGAGCCCCAGCCCCCTGTGGAGGGCACCCGGGCGGACGCAGCCTCTCCGGAGGCCGAATCCTGCTGGGAGCCGGGGTCAGCGGGCGGCTCTGCCTCCAACCTGCAGGGCCCCGGCGGGCCGGGCCGGGAGGAAGGCTCCTCCAGGGCTCCCGACACCCACCCCGACCCGGGCTGGCTGACCGAGCTGCTGGCATCGCCGGGGGCTCAGGCAGCGGGACGCGGCTCAGCGCAGGCCGACGGCTCAGAGGTGAGGACTCACGGAGGCGAGGCAGCAAGGGTTAAAACCCGGCTGCGCGCTTCTGCTTTTTTTTTTTTTTAATCTTTTTTTTTTTTTCTCCTGCGTCGGAGCCGTCCAACGGGTTGGGTGGAGGCTGAGCACCCAGCGCGGGGAGAGCCGGGGTGGGGCCAGGCGCCGCGTGCGCCGGCACGGAGAGCCATGGCTGAGCCGGGCACCGCGGCCGTGCTGCAGAGGCTGCTGGCCAACCTGCAGCTGCGCGACGAGCTGGGGAGGGCTCGGAGCACGCGGGGCTCTGAGGGGCCCTGGGTGGGTGCAGAGGCTGCGGGTGGTGGGCGCTGGGCTGGCTCCGGGAGGGGTGCTGAGGGTGGCCGCTCGCCCCCCGCGGTGTTTCTCTGACGCTCTCTCTGATTTTCTGGCTCTCTGTCCCCCAGGACCTGCTGGGCTGGTCGCGGAAGGACCTGTGCAGCGAATTCGGCATCGGGAGGTCCCAGCGGGCTGCTGCTTTTGACTGGAGCCACGAGGCCGTGGCCAGAGACAGGGACTGGCCTGGCGAGGTGGGGACCAAATCCAGCTGGGACACCGGGCACAGCGTGGGGGACGTGGAGCGGCAGGACAGGGCCTTCAGCGCCGCTGAGAGGGACTGGGGCAGCAGCTACAAAGGGACAGAGCTGCTGGGGGACGCGGGGCTGGGCTGCGGCACCTGGCCCAAACCCCACGGCCTGGGGGAAAGCTGCCTGCAGGACCAAGATTTTGGCAAAGCCAGCTGGGGCGCCGGCTACGGCTTGGACGGCGCTGGCAGCAGAGAGGAGGCGAGCTCTGGGAAGACCGAGTGGAGCAGGAGCTACAGCGTGGGTCAGCAGGAGGACAAAGAGCTGAGCTCCAGGCAGCCCAGCTGGGCTGGCAGGTACGGCTCTGGGGACCTGCAGAGCCCGGCCGGGGAGCTCGCACCCGTGTGGGCCGGCGAGTACGGCACCGGCGACGCCGAGATGAAGGACAGGGAGCTGGGCACAGACTGGGCCAGCAAATACAGCAGCAGGGATGCTGAGAGCAAGGAGGAGGACTTGACGCTGGGCTGGGCTGGCAGATCCAGCACCGGGGACGCCGGCAGCCTGGAGAAGGAGTTTTGCCCCAGCAGGTCGGCCTGGGACAGCAAATACAGCAGCAGCGCCATGGAGAGCCAGGACAGGGAGTTCAGCCCCAGCAGGCCCGCCTGGTCTGGCGAATACAGCAGCCAGGACATGGAGAGCCAGGACAGGGAGTTTAGCCCCAGCAGGCCGGCTGAAGGCAGCGACTACAGCACGAGGGGCATGGAGAGCCAGGACAGAGAGTTCAGCCCCAGCAGGCCCGCCTGGGACAGCGAGTACAGCAGCAGGGCCATGGAGAGCCAGGACAGGGAGTTCAGCCCCAGCAGGCCGGCTGAAGGCAGCGGCTACGGCGCCGGAGAGGAGGAGAGCCAGGAGAGGGAGTTCAGCTCCAGCAGGCCGGCCTGGGACGAGGAGTACAGCAGCAGGGCCATGGAGAGCCAGGACAGGGAGTTCGGCCCCGGCAGGCCAGTGTGGGCCAGTGAGTTCGGCTCCGTGGCCACCAGGAAGGAAGAATTCGGCCCCAGCCGGCTGAGCTGGGCTGGAGAACGCGGCACGGCCCAGACAGAAGCGGGCAGTGCCTTTGGGGTCAGAACAGAAGAGCTGCCTGGCTCCTCTGCCCCTGGGCACCCGGCCCCGGAGCCGGGCTGGGGCAGCGGCGAGCAGCAGGAGAGCGGCGCCGTGGGCTGGATGGAGGAGCTGTGCCGCGGGGCAGCTGAGCACCGTAACCAGTTCGGTGCCATTGGGATGGAGCAGGGGCCCGACTCCGCCAGCACTGCAGCGCCAGAAGGAAGCCCCATGTCCTGGAGCACCGAAATGAGCCCCGGGGACCTGCAGGAGTGCGGGGAGTCCCCGGGAGGCTGGCACGGCGACCTCCCCTCAGCTCCTACCGCCGGTACCGGTGATGGTGGACCAGGACAGATGGCCTGGGATGAGGATGGGGCAGCCCCAGGCAGCTCCGCACAGCCCCAGGAGGATGAGGATGAGGAGGAGGAAGCAGGCTGGAGGCAGCCCCAGGAGGCAGGTGGATGGAGCACGGAGCTGAGCGAGGCTGAAGCCAGGCGCCAGGAGTGGGCCAGCGCCTTCGACGCCCGCTGTGCCGCACGCAGCCGGGATTTCGGTGCCGGGGAGCCGAGCCCAGGAGACCACGGGGCTTCGGCACCAGGGTAAGGAGGGAGCTGGCGGGGGGGGATCTGGAGGATCTGGCAGAGTTAGCTCCGTCAGCCTTGGGAGGGCTTTTCCTTGGCTGCAGCTGGGGGAACTGTGGGCTCTCCTCTCGTCTCCCCCAGCAGGACCCCCGTGGACGCCCACCTCTCGGACCCCAGCCCACCCTTGGGTGCTGATGCTGAGCCCACGGGGCCGAGCCCCCAGCCCCCAGCCTCAGAGCCCCCCCGGGACGAGGATGAGGATGAGGATGAGGCCGAGCCCAGCCCCGCAGAGGATGGGGACGTGGCTGCAGCCCCCCTGCTGCCGGAGGCTGGCGGCGGGACCCCCCCAGAAGCGGGGAGCCAGGAGGAGACCCCCTGGGACCACCCGGATGCGAAGAGACCACAGAGCAGCGAGGAAAATCCCGCTCAGCCCGAGGGACCCACGGAGCTCTCCGGGCAGGAATTCACCTTTTTGGAGGTGAGTGGGTGGGGGGAACCTGCTGACCCCCCCCCCTCGTGGCAGCCCCGATCCAAATGTGCTGTGGGCACCAGGCCACCCTGCGCTGTAGGGTCACTGCTGCCCTGGGGGGCCATAAAGCCCTGTGGGATGGATGGGGGTGCTGGGGGGGGCCTGGGACCCCCCGTGCTGGGCGCTGACCTTCCCCCCGTGTGTTGTGCAGGACACGGAGGTCCTGGACAGCACCGTGTACCGCACCAAAGCCAGCCTGGGCCGCAAGCGGAGGCACCGTGCGCCCGCCCTCCGCCCCGGGGCCACCTCTGAGGGGGACAGCTGGATCTTCCAGGACTCCACAGGTCAGATCCCTGCGGCTGGGGACAGCGGGGCAGGGACATTGGGGTGCTGTGGCCTTGGCAGAGGCGCCTCACGGCCGTGCTGTCCCCACAGAGCCCCGTCCACCCCGCGCGGCCGCGTCCTCCGACGAGGAGGCAGCAGAGGAGCCCAAGAGCCGGCGGGTGCGAGCGTCCCCGTCGGGAAAAGGCGTCAAGGTGCCGCTCTTCCCCGGCCTCAACACGTCTGCCCTCAAGGTACGGGCCCAGCAGGACCCCAGGGACGTGTCCCAGCTGGGAAGAGGGGACCCGATCCCTCCACGGGGGCAGCGTGTGGGTATTGGGGTGGCTGGGGAGGGAAAAGGGTGTGACGGGGGGCCCTGGGGGCGGCGGGGAGCACCCCTCTGACTGCACCCCTCATGCCCAGGCCAAGCTGAGGGGCCGAAACCGCTCTGCCGAGGAGGGGGCGCTGCCAGCAGACAGCAAGGCAGCCCCCCCGAAGGACCCCCACGTGCAGCGCTCCAAGTCCTGCAAGATCCCCGGCCTGGGGGGGAAGCCCCTGGCGCTGCCCCCCAAGCCGGACAAGTCCTCAGGGTGAGTGCCGGGGGCCCTGGGGGGGAGAGAGGCGTGAAATCCCCCCAGTGGGCACAATGGGGACCTGTGGGGTGCGGGGTGGACGTGCCAAGGTGCCTGTGGGGCTGTGCTGGAGTCCCACGGCCCCGAGGAACCCGGTGCCCCGGGGTTGGTGTTTCTGCTGCTGGCAGCCGGCCTCGGGGCTGGGGCTGGAGCGGGGAGGGAGGCTTGCTGGGACCGGCATTCCCAAGGCCCCGTTGCCTGGGAGAGTTGGGCTGCTCCACCCTAAACAGTGCTTGGGACGAAGCCCTTAAAGCCACAGCTTGGAGGCTGCCTCCGCAGCTGGCCGCAGCCCGGCTCCCTGCCTGCCCGACCCCTCTGGGGAGCGGGACCGCGCCGGGGGGTCCCCGTTGGCCGGGTCCCCCCAGGGCTTTGGGAGAAGCCCCCAGGGCTTCTTTGGGCGTGTTTCCGGGGGATTTTGGTGATGCAGCTCCATGCTCCCAGGTCAGACGGCTCCCCGCCACACTGGCTGCAAGCGCTGAAGCTGAAGAAGAAGAAGTCATGAGCTGATCCCGCGGGGTGAGTACCAGCACGGCACGGGGGTGACACCGCGGGGACGGCTGGGACGAGGGCCAGAGGGGACATCCCTCCAGCTCCGGGTCCCCCCAGAGGCTGGGGCTCCCTGCCTGCCTCCTGACCGTGTCTCCCCCCTCCCCGTGTCTCTTTTTTTAGGCTCGCTCTCCTGCCAGCGTGGCCCCTGGGAGGCTCACGGCCAGCTCGCCCCCTCCCCGTGGCAGGACACACACACACACATCTATGCACTTTGTATGATGCTCGCAGGGTCCCCTCCCCACTCACCTCCCGCCCCCCTCCGAGGCCCGAGGGACTCCCCGGGGGTCTCTCTTCCTCTGCCCACCCCCTCAGCCCCCCACATTTCCCGGGGGCTGGGGGCGGCGGTGGAAACCCACAAGCCCCGTTCCCTCCCCGTCACCCTCCTACCACCCTCCAGACCAAGAGCAGCAGGTCATTATTTTGGTGCCACTTTTCAGGACAATAAAACTTTGTTGGTTGGTTCTTGGGGTGTCCTTCCTTCTTCTGTGGGCTCCCTGGGGCTGGGGAAGGGGGTGTCCCTGTCCCCATGCTGCGGGGACAGCCACCAGGAGGAGCTCTCTGCCCTCGCATGCCTGCAGCCGGCACGGGGAGCTCAGCGCCGTGTGTGGGGGGTGCCTGGGGACACCTCCACTGTCCCCACGTCCCTGCAGCCTGCCTGGAGAGACCGTCCTAGCCCTAAACCTTCCTGAGAAACCCAGCAATCCAGTCTCCATCTGTGAGTCCAGCCGCAATCCCAGCCGATCTGCCTGTGCCTGTGTTCCTGCTGGGATTTCTTTCCTCGTGCAAGCCCAGGGAAGACTGGAGGAGTTTACAAATCTCCCCAGGCAGCTTCTCCTGCAAAATGCAATCCCTGCTCCCCTCCCAGAGCTGCCTGTGCCCCAGGCCCTGTCCCCTCCCCGCCATGAGGAACCCCAAGCGGTTTCTTCCCGGCAGAGCCTAGCGGAAAGGAGAAGAGACAGATGGAGAGATGGAGCCAAGGAGTTGTTGCTTCCCTGGTAGGATATGAGTAACTCCAAGTGACTTCGGAGGAAATCACCAAATCCCGTGCCGGGGTACAGTCCAGCTCTGCTCTTCCTGGCACACCGTTTGGGTACGTGGGGAGCTCGGCCCCATGGCACCGCTGAGTGCCCCCCTGGAGCTGCACAGGACACTGCCAGCCCTGGTTTTGGGGCCCTCTGCCACACACATGCAAGGTTTTTGTGTGGGCTGGGACAAATATCACACGGGGACAGCACCCTGGTCTGAGCCAGAGAGAGGTTTTTGGGTACTGGGTGGATATTAATGGGTTCTACATCCCCACGGGTGCCCTGACCCACGGCATGCCTTGGGAAAGCTTTCAGCTGTTAGCAGAGCTGAGGTCTCCTCGCCCCTGGTGCTGCTGAACCCTCAGCTTTATCAGGGGCTTGGGGCCGGCAGATGCTCCGGCTCCTGCTGAATTTGCAGAGGAATCTCGGCCGCTTATCTCTGATTGCGTCCAGTTGTCGCTGCCCCCTCCGAGCCTCCTGGTGCTGCCACAGGGATGTGGGATTTGCTCCAGCACTTTGGCTATGGAGCCTCGCAAATTAGGGGGACTAAGAGTGAGGTTACCTGATGGGCTCGCAGATCTGAGCCCAGCACCCAGCAGGAGAAAACCTCTCCTCGCACAGCCCCTCGCCGTGGGCTCAGCTCCTCCTGCCTCCCCTTCCCCCCGGGGCCCCTCTGCACGTTCCTGCTGTCCCCCGGTGGGACGGAGCAGCGGGGGCACCGCTCAGCCCCCTCCCTCCCCATCCGCTGCTTTTCGGCCAGGCATCGCCTTCGCCAGGCTGCAAAGGGTTACCTGTTCTCCTGCGCTACCCACAGAAGACAAAAATAGTGGGGATTGTTATTAATAGTGATCTTCATTACCCGGGCTGGAACATCTCCCTTTGTAGCAGTTTCTGGCAATACCAAGGGTCTAATTAGCATTTTTTTTATTTCCCTGTTTTATTCAATTCATTAGCTGTCTTAAGTAACGGCTTCAGCAGTCTTGGGGTTTTGTGTGGTTCTGTCTCCTCTTTTTTTTTTTTTTTTAAAAAAAAAGAAGAAACTTAAAATATGAAGTTAGCAGCCCTCACATTTAGGCATTGCATTTTAACAGCTTTTTCTCTAATTTTTCCAAGAAATGCTGACCTTCGCAGATCCTTACAGGGTTAATGTTGGCTTTTCCCAGTTGACCCTGTCCCAGGTAATCAGAACATTTTATTATTCATCACCCCCCTCCCGAGCCTGATGAAGCCCCCCATTTGTTCTCACGGGGCTGAGAGCTGCTTCAGATTCGGGGCTTCTCCTCCCCCCGCCTTATTTCGGAGCCCCCTTAGGGCTGCCCTGTATTTCAGCAACCCAATTACCTCGCCACCAGCTCTTTTTTTTTTTGGTTTTAACACTGGTTTGAGGGGCCGGCCGTGCTGGCAGGGGGGTGGTGGTGTCACCGCTGTGCCCGGCTCGGTGTCCGCGCTGCTGCTGTCCCCAGCGTGCCTTCGCTTCGCTCTGAATCCCTCCAGCTGGTGATTTATCGATTTTTAATGGCAAAAGGCACCTCTCGTCTCCGTGCTGTGGGCAGCCGAAGCCCCGTGCTTGTCTCAGCCTCTGCAGAGGCTCGTGGCTTTGTCAGGCTGTGGTTTGCAAACACTCGGCTTGGCGAAGGGCTCTGCCCAAAGCCGCAGCTGTGAGAGCTGAGCCTCGGTGGGACAGCGTCCTGCCTCTCAGCCCTGCTCCCTCCGGCGTTTCTGGGTTTGGAGGTGATTTCTCATCAAGGCAGGGCTGCTTTCTGCTCCTTCACCTTACAAAAATAGTCAGCACAGGATGCACACACGGTGAGGTCCCTGGGGGCTCTGCGTTACGCCGTACCGGTGCAGAAGATGCCTTAAAATGTTCCTTCGCTAGCCCAAGCGGCCACTTCCCCCCTCCAGATTTTGGCTAAATGCATAAATGGCTCCCGCAGCGCTCAGAAGAGGGCCCGGGCACTTTGGGATGCCAAATGTAAAACCCCAAGTGCCAAACGCCCGCTGGGAGGTCCCAGCTGCGAAGCCCCAAGCTGCAAAATGCCCAAACCCTGGGGTGCGACACCCCAGCTGCCGAAGGCGCCCTCTGAGATGTGAAATCCAATTCCCACGTCCCTGGGGGGTGCCTGGCTGTGTCCCCCCCCCAGGAGCTGGTTCTCCGTGTCCCTGCACCCAGCCTGGGCGCTGGGGTGGCCGCGGTGGGGGGCAGCGGGGTTATCTCGTGGGCTGACGCTTTGACACTTGGGTGAGAGCCTGGTAAAACCCCTGGGAGGGGGCCGGGGCAGCCAGATGGGAGGTGTGTGTGTGTGGGGAGGGGAGCTGTGAAATTTCCCACGGGGGCTCCCCATCCTGTCCCTTCCCACCGAGGAGGAGGAGGAGGAGGAGGGCGGAGGGCGGGTAGGAAGGGGAGGTAACGAGGTGGGATTCGTCGGGCTGGGCTCAGAGGGCCGGAGGAGGTCGGTGCTGAGCCCAGGGCGCCGGGGATGAGCTGAGCTGAGCCCGGCAGCATGGAGGAGCTGGCAGAGAGCTATGCCTACGGGGACAACGAGACGGAGTGCGAGTACGAGGAGTGGGGCCCCTCGCTGTCCCTGCTGCCCACCATCTACCTGCTGGTCTTCCTGCTGGGCACGGCGGGCAACGGGCTGGTCCTCTGGACCATCTTCAAAGGCGGCCGCGAGCGGCGGCGCTCGGCCGACACCTTCATCGCCAACCTGGCCGCCGCCGACCTCACCTTCGTGGCCACCCTGCCGCTGTGGGCCGCCTACGCCTGGCTGGGCTACCACTGGCCCTTCGGCACGGCCGCCTGCAAGGTGAGCAGCTACCTGGTCTTCGTCAACATGTACGCCAGCGTCTTCTGCCTGACGGGGCTGAGCTTCGACCGCTACCTGGCCATCGTGCGGCCCCTGGCCACGGCCAAGCTGCGCTCGCGGGTCAGCGGGCTGCTGGCCACCGTGGCCCTGTGGCTGCTGGCCGCCCTGCTGGCCCTGCCCGCCCTGGTGCTGCGGCGGGCGGCGGCGCTGGAGGGGGACACCAGGGTGACCTGCTACATGGACTATGGGGACCTGGCTGTGCCGGGCACCGAGAGCGCCTGGGAGGTGGGGCTGGGGCTGTCGTCCACCGCCCTGGGCTTCGTGGCCCCCTTCGCCATCATGCTGACCTGCTACTTCTTCATCGCCCGCACCGTGGCCAGCCACTTTCGTCGGGAGCGGGCCGAGGGGCCCCGCAAGCGCAAGCGCCTGCTGACCATCATCGCCGTGCTGGTGGCCGCCTTTGGGGGCTGCTGGCTGCCCTTCCACCTGGTCAAGACCCTCTACGTCCTGATGGACCTGGAGGTGCTGCCCTGGTCCTGCGGCCTCCACGCCTTCCTCAACAACCTCCACCCCTACTGCACCGGCATCGCCTACATCAACAGCTGCCTCAACCCTTTTCTCTACGCCTTCTTCGACCCTCGCTTCCGACGGGCCTGCGCCGCCCTCCTCTGCTGCCGCCCCCCCGGCCCCGGGGCCGAGCGCTCGGGCAGCTTCTCCTCGGGGCACAGCCACCCCCCCGGGGGCAAAGGGGGGCCGCCCGGGGGGGGCAAGCTGGACCCCGCCACCCAGGAGACGCTCTTCCGCGCCTGAGCCCCCCCATCCCGACCCCAGCACCCCCCCTGAGCTGGTCTCCTCGGGGAGAGGCCCCTGTGTTTTTTTGGGGGACCCCCCCCTCCTGTTTTCTCAGCGCCCCAGAGCCTGGCTTGCTTTGGGGAGCCCCTGCTTTTGGGATACGTTTGTGGGGTGGGGGACACCGAGGCATGAGTGGGTGGGTTGGGCAGGGGCAGCGGCCGCGAGATTTGTGACAAATAAATGAATTTTGGTTACAAAAATAAAGGAGCGGAGTATGTGAGTCCCTCTGGGGTGATGGAGAGGGTGTGGGGGGGCTGCATGGGTTTTGGGGGGGATTTGCTGTGTGTGTGTGCGTGCCCCCTCCCACGCCCCCCACATTTTGGGTGCACGCCGTGCGTCCCCACACGCTTTGGGAAGTGCAAAAATTCCCACCCCTGAGTGCCGCTTTGCTGCATCGCAGCACAGTGAGACCGGAGTGAAAACCAGATAAAGAACCTTCCCCCCCCCCACAAAAAAAACAAAAAAAAACCCTCTGGTGCACGGGGTGGGAGCTCAGCCCGCCCCAGTGGGAGGCTCTGATTGCATCAGGCAGCTGTCCCCTTCTCCCAAATCCCCGTTTGAGGTTTTTATCCTCCTTATCTCAGGCCAGATACACCCTGAGTGGTTCCCCCCTGGGGCCGTGGATGCCATCGAGCAGCCGGGGGCCGCTGCCCGCGCCCCAGGCCAGCACCGAGGGCACCCCCCTGGTGTGGGCTCGGGGCCAGTTTGGGGCTGGACGGCGTTTTGGGGACCCCATCCCCTTCCCCATCCTCCCGTGGCGCCAGCAGGACAATGGCCTGCG